ATTTTATAAACTCCACCGATATAACACCATTCATGATCAATTCTCTAATCATGCTATGTCTAACACCTAAGTGTCTAGACTTTCCATTATAGACTTGGCTATAAGCCTTAGCTAATGTAGCTGCACTATCACAACGAATAGATAATGGTGCAATCGGCTTTTTCCACARTGGAATCTCATATATCAAATTTTTTAGCCACTCAGCTTCCTTACCAGCTGCGGCTAACGCAACAAATTCCGATTCCATCGTTGAGTTTGTAATGCAAGTTTGTTTCTTCGATGCCCAAGAAATAGCACCACCTCCAAGCAAGAATACCCAACCACTAGTAGAAGAATGATCTTCTACATTAGATATCCAATTTGCATCCGAGTATCCTTCTAACACCGAAGGATATCCTAGATAACACAAACCATAGTCCATGGTTCCCTTCAAATACTTGAATACTCGTTGTATAGCTTGCCAATGTTGTGTACTAGGATTACTTGTGTACCGACTCAACCTCCCAACGACATAAGCAATATCGGGTCTCGTGCTAGTCATAGCATACATCAAGGAACCTATAGCTCGAGAGTATTCCAATTGTGAAATAACCATGCCTTTATTAGGCATTAATTTCATGCTAGGATCCATAGGAGTACTCACGGGAGAACATTCACTATAATTRAATTTCTTGAGAATTTTCTCAATATAATGAGATTGCGTTATAGCAATTCCTCTGTTCAACCGTTTAAWCCTAATTCCTAGGATTACATCCGCCTCCCCCTTGTCCTTCATGGCAAATTTTGATGATAATAAATTCTTAGTTTTATCAACTTGAAGTTGATCCGTACCAAATATTAACATATCATCAACATATAAGCATATGATCACACCTGAGCCAGAAKCATCAAATMGGCTATAAACACATTTGTCGGATTGGTTTAAAGCAAAACCACATGACAAGATAACTTCATCAAACTTTTGATGCCATTGTTTAGGAGCTTGTTTTAGCCCGTACAATGACTTCACAAGTTTACACACCTTATGCTCRTTATCGGGCATAACAAAACCTTCCGGTTGTTTCATGTAAACTTCCTCATCAAGGTCACCATTCAAGAATGCTGTCTTGACATCCATTTGATGAATAATTAGATTGTGAATAGAAGACAATGCAATCAACAATCTAATAGTTGAAATACGAGCTACCGGAGCATATGTATCAAAATAGTCAATACCGGGTTTTTGCCTAAAACCTTGAATGACTAACCGGGCCTTGAACTTGTCAATAGTCCCATCAATTTTCATTTTCTTTTTGAAAATCCATTTGCAACCTAAAGGCTTGGAGCCCTTTGGCAAATCAGACAACACCCAAGTGTTGTTCTCCATGATTGATGACATTTCATCATCAATCGCTTCTTTCCAAAAAGCAACATCTCTAGACTCCATGGCCTCCTTAAAGGTCTTAGGATCATCCTCAACATGAAAACAGTATGAATATTGCATCCCCACTTCATCTCTTGAACCTTCAACCAAATACAATTGGAAATCTGGTCCAAAGTTTTTCGCAATTCGGCCTCTTTTGCTTTTTCGGGGCTGTTGAGTTTCGGGAATTGAAACACCACCCAAATCTTCTAAATTTTCTGAATTTTGCTCTTCATTAGAGCTAAAAATCAGATCCTTATGCCTTTGAATTGATGAAAAACGCATCTCATCAAAAATCGCATCACGCGACTCAATTACGGTATTAATCGACACCGAATCATTAAGTTCTATTACATAAAAGATAAAACCTATATGCCTTGGAATTTTGTGCATATCCAATGAATATACAATCAATTCCTCTTTCACCTAAATTTTTCCTTTTAGGTTCGGTAAGTTTCACAACAGCTCGACATCCCCAAATTCGAAAATAACTCAAATTTGGAGCTTTCTTATACCAAAGCTCATATGGGGCTGTTTAGTTCCGTTTGTTTGGAACTCTATTCAAGACATAACATGYTGTAAGCATTGYCTCTCCCCAAAATCCCTCACTCAAACCCGAGTAAGAAAGCATCGAGTTAACCATTTCTTTTAAAACTCGATTTTTCCGTTCRGCAACACCATTTTGTTGTGGTGTATACGGAGCTGTTGTTTCATGAATAATACCAATAGATTGAAAGTATTGAGGATCCATATATTCTCCACCCCGATCAGTTCTAAGACATTTAATTGATTTGYCTAATTGCAATTCAACTTCGGTTTTGTAAATTTTAAATTTATCTAAAGCTTCATCTTTAACATGTAATAAATATACATAACAAAACCTAGTTGAATCATCTATAAAAGTAACCACATACTTTTTATTGCCAAGTGAAGGAGTAGCATGGAAATCACAAAGATCACTATGAATTAAATCCAAAATACCCGAATCTCTTTTAATATTAGGAAACGGTTGTTTCGTGATTTTTGTAAGCATACAAGTCTTACACTTTTCAGCTTTAATGTCAAAAGATGGAATCAAACCTACTTTAGACATTTCATGCATTCTTCTAAAATTAACATGACCTAATCTAGCATGCCAAAGCATAGAATTCTCTACTTTAGAAGTAGAAGTCATAAACACAGAATTGCTACTAGAGGCAACTTTATTTACTACATTAAGTTTAAACATGCCATCACAATAGTATCCGAATCCAACAAACATACCACACTTGGATAGGACATACCTATCCGACTCCATAACTTGTTTATAACCCATACRATTTAACAAGCCACTAGACACAAGATTCTTTCGAACCTTAGGTACATACAACACATTAAACAAAGTAATTGTTTTTCCAGAAGTAAACACCAAACTAACAACACCCCTTCCTAGAATTGGCTTYATTGACTCGTCTCCCATGCGTAGAACCGATCCATCATMATTTGGTTCGAATTTCTCAAACCATTCTTTATGTCTACACACATGGCTAGTAGCACCCGAGTCAAGCCACCAAGAGAAATCATCCTCCTGCACATATGAAATTTCAGGAATTAGTGAAACATAATTCTGGGTAGAATTACAAAGATCATTGAAAAACTGACCTTTAGGTGGACCTTGGTCCTTAGACCCTTGTCCACTACCACTATTTCCAGCTTCATWCTTGTTGAGTTTCACACGGCAATCACGCTTAATGTGTCCAATTTTGTTACACCTCCAACAAACCAATTCCTTGGCTTTCTTGTTGGATTTGTCATGGCCATCATACTTACRTTTCTTGCCCTTTCCTTTGGTGTCATTTTTGTGTTTCTTCTCTTCAACCATAWGAACAGAAGGCTGCCCAACATCAACCTTCCCTTTCACCTTGTCACATTCTTGAACCCGGAGTGATTCCTCAATCCGAATGTGACTACCCAAYTGTACCAAAGACATTTCCTCTTTCTGATGTTTTAAAGTGTGCTTAAAATCTTTCCAGGATGGTGGTAATTTGTCAATCACACTTGACACARCAATGCTTTCATCCATGTTCATTTTGTGAAGTGTGAATTGTCCCAGAATTCGAATAAGTTCATTGTATTGTTCCATTACGGGCCTAGAGTCTACCATTTTGTAATTGTTAAAATCAGAAACCAAGAATTTCTTACTAGAAGCATCTTCTGCTATATATTTAGACTCTAAAGAATCYCATAATTCCTTAGCACTTTCGATATTCTGGTATATATCAAAGAGAGCATCAGACATACCATTCAGAATATGACCCCTACAGATGTAGTCATCATTCTCCCACTTGTTCTTCTTCCTGGTTTGTTCCAGTGTCTCATCCTCCATAAGTTCAGGCATTGGTGTACTCAGAACATACACAACCTTCAAAGTGGTGAGAAGAAAGTGCATCTTCTTYTGCCAGCGACGAAAATCATTCCCCTGGAACTTCTCCAACTTGTTAAACTTCGAAGTCATGTCCTTCACAGATTCACTGGTAGTCATGATTGCAGAAAACCGAACAAATATCGAATTTGATTGTTGAATTATAACCGGATTTCTTCTACAATCGTGTGAATCACTTTCCAAATTCGATATTTCGACCGTATATGTCTGGTATCACGAAATCCGAATTGGGATAATTGTAAAAGCAACAATCTTGATTTTGGCAGAAATCAAGATCAAAACTAGAGAAAAATATAGAGTGTCTTCAAAATTCGTATCTGTCCCAAAACTGATCATCCGAAATTAAAACTCAAAACTGTGAAAATGGGAGTTACCAAGTTATAGGATTCACAATCATACCACAGAAAAATCAAGAATTTTCCATTATAAACCCTATACTTATATAATTTCGGGCCCCGTTTTGCGTTCAGGGGGCGTTGCCCCCTAAATATTACCGGGACCGACTTAGACTAATACAAGCGTGCACTCCACACTCTCCATACTTGTTTTAGAACAAAGTTCAATCCCTTTGAAAAACACGTATAAAATCCATTACACTAAATGTAACCGGTGACACTAAAATCACCAACAACTAATATGTAGCATATTGAACACATAAAAAGTACCTAGCTGTTCTTCAATGTTTATAGCCTCCTAGTCTGCTGTTATAGCCTTGTAGCAGAGAATATTCTATATCCTGAAACTAGAGAAAGCAAAACTTTGAGTTGTATTAGAGAATCTGGAGAGAGATTTCCTCAGGGATGTTTCATATAACCTTATACACATCATCTTGGCTGGTGACTGGTGAGGTTATTTTCAGTCAGATGATTAGGCTTAATTATTTATTTATTATTTCGTCTTGTGTCACGGACTTGTCTTTCTTACAATGTTTTGTGTGGTATATGTCGGTTTATTGAGAGGCAAAGGCTTCCATCGTCAAGCATTAGAAAATTTAGACAGTTTTTAGAGCAAATACTTTTTTGTTGAGTGAATCAGTAACTTGTTGGGGAACCTTGCAATCTAAGTTGTGAATTTGGAAAGATGCCAGGGGTTTAAAGAACTTTTTTATGCAGACCCTTTTTGCCTCACAGTTGTTTTAATGCAGGCCCTTTTAGCCTCACAGTTGTATAGTTACTGAATCATCTTGTATGTTCATTTTTGTCCCAAAGTTCAGTCCTGGTTGAAAGGTTCCATCACATTTTTGTTATGGTCAATAGAGGTACACTAAGAAGTTTTTCTTCTTAAAACTTAATAAAAACTGAAATAGACTGGCTTATATATAGCAAAAGAGAGAAGGGGGGCCAGGGCCCAAAATGGGGTGAAAACCCCAAAATGTGCCAAAGAAGGCGTCCTAGAGGGGGGCGTGGAGGTCTATGCGACCTCCTGGTCGCATTGCCCAGATCGCGGCAAGTGTATTGATTGCCCCAAGGCCCTAAGCAGGTGCACAGTTTACGTGACTCCCGTCACGGAGAGTGTATCGAAAGTGGGGGTTTCCATCCAACTTGCTCTATGTGATGGCCAGGTCCCGTAGAGCATTCTTTGGCCTCTTACTGTTTTGAGCAATGTCCACATTCAAAACTCACCATGTAAAAGGTATCTAATTGAAAAAGGAATCATAGTCTTTCTTGTATCCCCTTTCAATCATCTGTGCATGATCGATGGAGTGATCTTCCACAGTGTGTATCTGATTGTCTTACTGTAACTTGTTTGTTTTCCAGCATTTGAGTGAGGAGAAGATCATAAATGCTGTGAATGTGGAAAAAGATGTGGATGGCTTTCATCCTGTCAACATGGGGAATCTCGCCATGACAGGAAGAGAGCCTTTATTTATTCCTTGTGCGTCTAGGGGGTGTCTTGAGGTGCTTCACCGATGCAGTGTGGAAATCATAGGTAAAAAAGTAGTAGTAATTGGGAGAAGCAAGATTGGTGGATTACCCACTTCCTTGCTATTGCAGGTACGTATACTCGATCAACAATTCAACATCCATATAGCCTTTTTCTAATTAGTTACCTGCATAATATGTCTTTCTGTTGATTTTTCTTACCTTGAGGTTTTCTTGTACTAATTCTGTTTGTATGTTGTTTCTCGCTCCTTGATCACTTTTCTTATTCCCTTTTTGGGTGCAAACTCTCTTTTTTCGCACACTTTTCACTTTTCACAAGCCGAGGGTCTTCATCGAAACAATCACTCTACTCTTTGGGTTGGAGGTCAGATCTGCCTACATCCCACCCTCCCCAAACCCCACCTCCTGGTGGAATATAATGATTTGGTTTGGTTTCATATTACGTCTTTCTACATGCAGAGGCATCATGCTACAGTGAGCGTTGTACATGCATTCACAAAGAATCCAGAGCAAATAACACGTGAAGCCGACATTTTAGTTTCAGATGTAGGTGTTCCGAATCTGGTTCGTGGTCATTGGTTAAAGCCAGGGGTTGTGGTAATTGACATGGGGTCAACGTTGGTTAAGGTAGTTCTTTGATTTGATTTTCAATGTTAGATGCTTTGCTGCGCATTGCATATGTAGAAGCCCTGGAAACGCTATCTACACAAATTCAAAATCTTTTCTTCTTTCTTCCTTATGATAGTTGTTGTCTATTATTGTCAGCCTGACCTATGATTCGATTAGCTGATGGTTTCCATGCAAAATGTCTCTCCACATTAACCAGCAAAACTTTTGGTCTTACCTATTAGGCCAACCCTTTGACAGAAACAGCTGCTCTACTCTTTGGGGTAGAGGCTAGGTCTGAGTAAATCTTACTATCCCCGGGCCCCACCTCGTAGCGGGATATAGTGGGTTTGTTTGGTTTTGTTCTTAACTATGATCAACTTCATTTTGTATTGTTATAGAATGGCAGCAATGAAGGGTGCTTTCCTCCTACTCAAACGCATGCATAATATCGAAAATTAGCTGCCATTCTTTTTGTGTTTAGTTCTTTCGATCACTTTTTTAATATACTTTGCGCTATGATAATATACAGGACAGCAATAATTCACACTGTTCCCATGTGACTGGAGATGTTTGCTATGAAGAAGCGATCCATAAAGCATCAGCAATCACTCCTGTCCCTGGAGGTGTTGGACCTGTTACCATCTCCATGCTACTTTCCAATACCGTTGAAGCCGCTAAGCGAGCGTATCAATGGACTGAACGATCCTACCAACAAGAACAATCATTTTCTTATATACCACTTTCAAATGTGCATATATAAAATCATCTCCCACTTTTCCAATATTAGTTGCACACCACATGTTGTAGACAGTCCATGAGAAGCGGTATGGAAACCTTTAGTATTGCTTTAATGGCAAATAAAGGCTAGGCCTTGGGGATCCTCCCCATAGGTCGCCAGTTTGAGTCTCTTAGGGCCACGGGGGATTCTCCTGGTTGTTATCTTCAGGGCCCATGGAATTAGTCAAGGTGCACGCAAGCTAGCTCTTATCAGAGACTCCAAATACTGCTATGTGGCGCCGAGGGGTCAACACAACAACATAGATTGGAAAATACTTCTGGGTAAGTTGATATAATTTGTTGGAGCAATTTCTTCTAGTAGTGTTTACCTTCCAACACCATAATCTTTGAAGAATGCTACAGCTAAGGATTAAGGAATTAGGGGCCAGATGTGGGATTTTATCAGGTGGCTAGTTTCTTTCGGTTGTTGCAGAAGTGAAGGGTTGAGCAGTGATTGAAGCCTTTGAACCTCCAGTGGTAGTGTCTCACTGTGGAATGCTTTTGCTTGTTTGAGGTAATCCATCAAGTGGATACTTCTTTCTGTTATCTTTGTTCTTGTTGAAATCTTTGCTTTCAGGCGTACTTATTTCTTCATCTTTTGTGGGAAAATTAGGGTGCAAACTTTCGATCAAACATTTATGGTCATGATACAGTTTCATTATGACTATAACGGGGGTGCATTGGATGGTGCGATTGATGAAAACCTGGCATGATCTTTGATTTCTTTGTAGGTTTTCAGGGAAGAAAACATGTATTATTAGCCGATTAATGATATGGTTACATTTGTGGGTCATGTAATTAGCCTCATCTCTTAACACTCTGGTCTAGCAATATCTGAGCCTTGTAAGAAATGTGGCATTCAATCCTCATCGATGTGAAAAGGGTGTGAGTTTATTAGTTATGTTTGTTATATATAAATATTATATATATGTCCATTTCTTGCATACATTACATATATGGCCAAACCATTTTAAGAATTTCATCACAGTTTCATCAACTTCATCTCCAAAACAAACCTTAACATGCGCTTACATTCATACATTTAGTTAGTGGTAAACTGGTCATTTTAGTTTTCTCAACTGAAAAAAGAAAGTTTCGAGGGTTGGATTTGGATGTAATTTATGACGAGGTTTATAGATCAATTTATATCTTTAAATTTCATAAATCTGCTTCCAATTCGATCCCAATTTTTTTTTTTTTTTTTACTCTTGTGAATTTGAGGTTCCTTCAAGAATCGTTGATTCAATCTGTGATGGGGTTCTCTTTCTTGTATCAACAGTCAGCTGGTTCTTATCCTGACCCGATGCGTCTCTATATCTGTCATGATCCCCAAGAAAACAATAAAAGCTTTCCAGTTTCTCCAACGTGGATCTTCAATACTTTGGTCAAAAAGTGGGCGTTGATGAGTTTGGAAGACGAAACTTTTGAGGTATTCGATCAGGTGCTTGATAACTTGTATATCCAGAGTCGAGAAAAACAAAAGAACATCATTCCTTCCGAGTGTTTGACGATTTGCCAAAAAGAAAACAACCCACTTGGTATGGGACTTTTGGCACCAATGCTTTGGCCCCACCTCCATCTCAAGATGATGACGGTAAACGAGTAGAAAAACTTCCATTTTCATTAAAATTCATACTTGAATCTGAAGCACACAGAAAGAGTTTCGTGTTATGTGTTCTTGTTAATGTTCTCGACCTCCATCCTTTATTTCGGAAAAGGAAAAGATCATATCGGACAATGTCGTATACAGGAATCAAAGATAATCTTCCAGAGGAAGATTACAACCATGAATTCAACTACCCTACACGATAGAAGACAGATTATGGAGAGAGAGAGATTGAGGATCTCCATCTCTCCTATCGACAATTTTTCGTTTACAAAGCTTTTAGCTTCTTTCTGTCTATTTTCCGAATCTTAAAATATGCTTCACTGAGTATATTCATCATAATAATTATCGCTAATCACAGAAACAAACCTCTCGAGCCAAGGGAGCTGATGGAGGTCCTTGATGGTGTTGTCAAGATACGAAGACCCAGAGTCCGTGCACGGGTGTGGTGGGGACTGAGATTGATACGGGTACGTATGGTGGTCACCGAGGCTAAATCCACCAGCAAGAAACCTCTGAATTAGCGCAAGTTGTGATCTTTCTTGATCCGAGTAAGCATCCATCAAGTTGGAAAGCGAACCACACGAGTCCCATGCCCATTCCTCAAGTACAGGGCTGGAATTGAAGTTCTGGGTAAGTGTAAAGTCGTCATGTTCTCCTCTTTCGTCAACATCCAACATTGCACACTCGCATGTCTGTTCACCATCCCTGTATTCGACACCACAAGAATAACAGAACTCATGCCCACACCTGCAGAAGACAACATAATTTATTTGTAGATAGATTCTAATACATGGGCTTTATTGAAATGTTGCAGTTTTTTTTAATAATTTCTCTCTCTCTCTATCTCTCTCTCTCTCTCTCTCTCTCTATATATATATATATGCACGCGCGCACACACACACACCCACACCGCCAATACGTAACCCGAGTACTGCAGGGCTGATGACCCTCTGGTAAATGTTGCAGTTTTCATGGGCATGAGGAAGTACCATAAGGCCATCTTTGGCAACCATAAGTTAGCTTTTTTAGCTTATTGGAAAAGCCTTGCTTGGTTAGCCAAAGCTCCAGGGCCTTTTTCCGTTTTTTCCAATTGTGCCCCCTTTTCCCAATTAATTCATGTTCTTTTGAGTCATTTTACATTGTTGTCTAGCTTATCAGTTAGTTTTTTACCAAACATTATCAGCCAACAGCTGGCTTAAGAGTTGCTTTGCCAATCATAGCCTGAATAAAATATCAAAAGATCATACCAGCATGTCATGTGATGGCAGCCATGCGTTAGTTCGATCACCCTTTCACACATCTGGCAATGTCTCCATCTTCTATTCTCCACGGCATCGCCAACGCCCCTCCCCAGTGGTGGGCATTCCTGAAACTCGTCACAGCTCATTGACGAGTGCCAAGGCACCCCGCATTTCACACATATAAATCGTTGGCATACAGGACACTCCACACAATTATTTTCTGATTGGTTTGAATTGCAACGAGGATCAAGCAGAACTGCGCAATCTGAAAAGGGGCAGTAAAATTTATCTGCCGCAAGCGTATTTGGTTCCGAAAGGGCGTTCTCTAACAATGCATAAGAGGCAACCGGAAGAAACAACTTAAACTCAGGGGCGGAAATGTAATATCTGCAATTTAAACTAGGGCACCTAATGGGGACTCGGGACAACTGAACCTCTTCATCGACATAAGCTTTGATGCAACAGGAACAGAACTTGTGTGAGCATTTCATGGTGATGGTCATGGGTGTCGGTTTCTCTTCGCAACAGATTGAACAGGTTTGCACCAACTCATCGCCCTTGATAGGAATACGAAAAATTCCGATTGCCACTTGAGCGAGTCGCAATGGCTCCTCAAGATCAATATTGTGAACACATTTTAGCACAAAATGTTGAAGATTTTCAGCATGTTCTAATATTCTTTGCTTCAATGCCATGAGAAGTGGATTCTCAAGTGTTCCCTTGGTAGTAATCTGTCAGAAAATTGCAACTTTAAAATAAACCAAACCAAACCAAACAAAAACGACCCAATAAATCCCACTCGAAAGTAGGGCAGGGGGTGAGATATAAGCAAAACTGACCTCTACCCCGTTGTGTATCCACCCCAAAGATCCGATGTGTAAAGTACCAAAATGAGCATATACATATCTAATCCACATGAGGAATACCCCATAAATAAGCCTCTAAGCTATGTTCGGCAAACTAGCCAATAAGCTAGCCATGGGGCTGAATGCTAATAAGTTAGCTGAAAAACTTATCTTTAGTAAAAAACTAGTTGATAAGCTAGATGACAATGTAGACCTAAAAGGACTAGTTGAAAATTTTACTGAAAAAATATAAAGGCATAATTGGAAAAACCCCGTAGAGCTTACTGAAACACTACTTGTAGTTTTTTCTTAAAGAAACCTAGCTTATTAACCGCTAAGTAAACAAATCTTTTTCAATAAGCTCAACAAATAAGCTAGAGATCGCCAAACATGGCCCAAGTGTCTTCGAAGACGTTCTCATACATTCCTATAGTTACAATGAATGGTGTATAAAGCAAGCAAAATCTCATTACGTTCAAGTAAATAACATAGAATAAAATTCGATACAACTTGTAATAATCCCGTTACCTGATCAAATAAGATCGCAGAATCGGTGAACGCAAATACCCGTTTGATGTTATTTCGTGTAGCCTCCGATAAACCATCCATCAAAGCCAAATAATCTGCAACCAATTCATCTACAAAAAACTCAAGTTTCTTCTGTACTTGAATCATAGGAACCTTGTTAACTCTCTCCATCACCACCCCAATTCCCGAACCATCGAAACCATTGTTTCCAGGATCTGCAATGGACACACCCTTGAAATACATTCGGACCGAAAACTCATCCAGAAATTCTTCATCATCATCATCAATGATATTATGTAAACCTTGTTTTACAGTTTCTTCCCTATCCAGATCCTCCTCATCTGCACAGCAACTTCGAAACTCGTCTTCGTCTTCTTCGAGTTTCAGTTCTCTTAGAACTGTCATCTCCCCCATTTTCAAACTATTGAGGAACCCTAGAACCTGAAGAAAAGGTTGTATATCAAATCATCTACAAAAACCCAGAGCCAGTTCATGTCTAAAACACACCATTTTTGGTCTATTGATGAACAAACAATCAAGAAAATCAAGAAACTAAACAGCAACACATCTGTTTTTCCATATTCCAACCAAACCCAGATCAGAACAGCTTCAAGATTCAAACCCCATCTTCCAAAAACGATGGATTACAAACCAAAAACTATGAGAACCAAATCTGAAGCAACAAGTTGGTCAGCTGATCAACAAAAAGCACAAAATACATCTGATTCTGAAAATCCCAACAAAACCCAGATCAGAAAGGCTTCAGAATCAAAAACCCATCTTCCAAATCAAGGATTTAGAAACGAAACTCCGAAAGTAATGAGACAATCTTTCAAACGCATTCAATGATTATGCAAACCAGAAGGGTGTACGACCTTAGAAATTAAAAAAAGGAAAAAGATGGAGAATATAATATAAATTAAATTAAAGAATAAAGGATGAAGAAAGTGAAGGTTCCATACCCATACCAATAATGATGATTTTGGTCAAAATTCATAGGAATTGTTTATGATCTGATTGACAGCAGAGCAGAGTAATGTCCACAAGAACCCTAATCTGACATTACTGTTGATTGTGTCTATGCAACCCACAAGACTTGTATTAAATATACAAAAAAAAAACCTTAAATCAGGGATTAAATTTGGTTTCTTTCTGTGGAAAAAGGAATCTGGTGGTGTTCATGAACAGTGGTGTCACATGGAAATGGGAATGGAAGAGGAGTTTGGAGTTGGAGTTTGAGTTTTTATTTTATATTTAATTTAATTATTGAGAATAATGCTGTGAACAAGATAATTAGTAATCATTGTTATCAATGTGTGGCTTATAGTAAACAAACCCAAATGAGTTTGCTTTTTATTTATTAGGGTTTTTCCCCATTTCACAATTACTACCCCAATGTTTTTTATGTTACTGTTTTTGCATTTAATTTAATAAACATGTTCATTTGAGTTATTATGCAACCCGTTACATTTGTACAACCAATAGGACTTAATGTCAACCGTCCATTTTATTTGATGAATATGTAATTTCATAGAAGTTTTGATTATTTTTTGATATAAAATATTGGTCATAGTTAATTAACTCTAATCATCTTTTATAAATATTCAAATTGTAATAAATGAACTTTCATCGTTTTCGTAAATATATCAATTGATTAGGTTGCATTGGTTGTATAAATGGACATGGTTGCATTTGAAATATACTCTATTTAATATTTTGTACCAACTAATTACATAACATTGTAAAAACGTTATAGACACGTGTCATTATTTGTTGCTCTTGTTATAAATATGTAATACAATAGGAGATTTTAATTAATCGTTTTGTTATTATTTTTATATAAAAAATAGTTTTGACGGGTACATATCAGTAACGGACTAACTTGTTACTAAAAAAATTAATACTTTTAAAAGCTATTTTGATATGTCTCGCTAATCCAATTGATCATTTGAATCTGATCAGAAAACCAGTTTCTATCAATTTCAGAAACCCTAATTTAGAACTTTGTTAGAATGAGAAAAAGACTGTTATACTAATATAGACTAAGACAACCTATATTGAATTTTACCCAAAGGTATACTTAAATGCTTACAACCAGCTAACTCGTTTTACCTGAATGTTATACTAACTCGTTTTATTACAACCAGCTAATTCGTTTTACCCCAAATAAAGTTAGGTCTACTGTCCAGGACCAATTATGCAATTAGACAACAAAGGAATCAGCGTTAACTCGACTCATTGTTGTTTGTGCAGTAAGTTCATCGAATTGGTGGATTTATTGTCTTTTGAAATGTAATCACACAACTTCAACATGGAATCAAATCTTCTCTGGGTGGAATCAGAACGGAGTTCTCTCGTCCTCAAATTCAGAATTACTCTTATCCGGCAGTGGCAATCGTGTTTCGGTGTCATTCAAAGGTATTTGGCAAGAGGCTGTTTGGATTGCTATGTATTCATTTAGAGGGAAAGAAATGCTAATGTCTTCAAAAGGGCTGCTTCGACTGTAGACCTACGTGGTGACATCTAATCGCTGTCATACTATTGGATTCCCTAAACCAAAAATCATAGACTAACGGGATTGGCTCTTCGACGATGGCTTCAATTTGATTGCTTATGGACGTTGGTCTTTTCTGGGTTCCACTTTTTGGTTTGTATTGACGTTTATTGTTTTGTCTAAGTTCTTCAGTGTTTTTCCTTGTTTTATTATTCTTGTTTTACATCTGCTCCTTGTAGATCCAACTTCCTTTTATCTCTTCATTTTTTTTTTGTATGTTAGCAATTGCTGAATGGTTTGGTGCATAATGATTAGTGATCGGAATGATAAAGAGGCTCTCATGATATAATGTAAAATGAAATATAATTGTTTGGTAATTGTGTACAATGAAATTAGGGCTCTTAATGGTTAAGGGAGATCTAAGATACAAAATCAATCAAAGGATTTTAGAACCATTAAGAGGTAAACTTTTTTTTTATTAAACAAGATTCACCTTTTAACGATTCAAAAGTTGGTTTTTAATGAAACTATTAAGAGGTAAACGTTCAAACATGATCTGTCATAACTTATGTACATATGTTAAATTGTAAATTTCTTTTCGACATGTTATCCATTTTTCTACATCTATAATAATCCCCTAAACCCATAATTTTTTTAAATCAATAAAGAGTTAGATTTTTAGAACAATAAAATAAGACGAAAATACAAGGATCAATTTGTTATAAAGTAAACTTGGGGAGTAGCACTGAATAGAGTAAAAACCTGAGGGTGGCTTTTGTAAATATTTTAAAGCTGTTGACGCGGCAGAATATTATTGACTTTCCCGTCTTTTGCACGCGATTTTCGATGATTGGATGCGACTTTGAGTGGTTGGATTTTCCAAGTGATTGACGACTTCGATTTATTAATTTAATGATGCTTCAATTTATTAATTTCCAACTCATTTTTGTTTGCAAAATGTTTTTAAAATGAAATAAAGTTTTAAATATTTAAGTATTTGCGTAACTGGTTGAAACATTAATTGGTTATCATATGATGTAACGAGTGATATGATATACAACTTAGTATTATTTGTTATTCAACACAATTTCATCACATCATTTGTCACATTAGCAAGGTAACTGGTTAATGCTTCAACTGGTTATTCGGGTACTTAAATGTTTAAAACTTTATATCTTAAGTATCAAAATGAAAGTTTTAAAGATACGTTACCCAAAATAAAAATCATGTTAAAGTACGTTACTTTTTTCATGCAATTTTTCTAAGAATTTATTGAAAGAAATTTGTGATTCGAATTGTAATTGGTTTTCTTGTCAAATCAAAGTGTCTTTTTGAAATTGAACATATGTTGAAACTAGGGCTGTAAACTAACCAAACGTTCAGCGAACCATTCGTGAATCGTTCGGCGGAAAGTTCGTTTATTTAATAAATGAACGGATATGAACAATTTTTTTTGTTCATTTAGTTAAACAAACGAACATGAACAAAAGTATCGTTCGTTCATTTACCGTTCGTTTATGTTCGTTTATATATTAAATTTAATATATAATCTTTTATTTATTTACTTTGAATTCAAATAATATTTATTTATTTATGTTCGTTTAACCCGTTTGTTTATGTTCGTTCGTTTAGCATGTCAATGAACGAACATAAACGAACACGAACATACCTGATTTCTAAATGAACGAACACGAATATAAAGATTTTCGTTCGTATTTATTCGTTTGTTTGGTTAAGTTAAACGAACAAACATGAACAAACCTACATTCGTGTTCGTTTACAGCCCTAGTTGAAACCGTCCCAAAGTGTCTTTTTAAAATTGAACATATGTTGTTGGATTGGAACTTGGAAGGAAGCCCACGGCCCAAAACAAACCCTGAATTTAAATAGAGAGTAAACTACAAATTTCGTACCTATGATTTGTCAAAAATAACACTTTCTATTCTAACAGTTTCGAAATTATAAGATGACCACTATTGTTTATAAAAAAATCTAAATTTGATCCCTTCCTCCAACATTAAATGCAAGGCATTTTCATGATTTTATCAATTTTATTTTTTAGCCAATCAAATTTGATTTTATGATTTTGGTTCCGGTATTTTTTTTGATTTGGGGAAATACAAAACCGATAAAATGACGACATGTCTCTCATTTAACAGAATTTCTTTAACGGTCATTAACGAGGGACCGAATTCGGACGTTTTTTCAAACCATTATGAATGAAAAGTGTAATTTTTGACAAACCAAAGGACCAAATTTGTAGTTCACTCTTAAATAAATTAACATAGAAAAAAAAATGATACTATTTTATATTATATTACTTACGGTCTATATCTTAGCAACTTAACAAGCTTAATGATACTCAACTTATTCGATCAGCTATACATAACTGTTTGGTAGTAGCTTAATGATATAGAAAATAACTTATTTAGTAAGTTTTTAGAGAAGTTTTATACAGAAAATCAAGTTTTTCCCAAACATGTCTCTTCCAATTAAAAAAACACTCATTCTATCTATAAATAAACCCTCTCAAACAAAAACCTCTCAATCTATATAAAAAGACAATTCATACAGACAACTTTATCCATAAAGCACTTGTTGGAAAGACAAAAGAGATTGTACTCCTTTTGTAGATGAACTGCTATTATACCTAGTTTCAGAGAACAAAATAACTCTTAAATTCAATAGGCCAAATGATGTATGTAGTTGTAGGAGGCTGGTCTTTTTTCTACTACAGTAAATTTGCATTCAATAACATCTTGGACCTGTTTTCATCATAAATATATGCCTGCTGCCTACTTTTACACATTCAAGTACCTTAAGAGATAGATATACAGCATACAACAACTCGGGGCTGATCTAACTACCACGGTTGCCCTTTCTTCCCAATCCGCCGTGCCAACTCCCAATCCTTTTTCACTGGACGAAAAACAAAGTCATCAATACAGGTGTCAAAGTCTGCATCAACAACAACAATTCCGTAAAAAAGAACTAAACTTACTGAGAGTAACGCGCCTTGCATGAATCGCGCATAGCATTGAATCTTCAAATAGCTGTATTAGGTAATCTTCGGCTGCCTGAAAACAGATGGTTATCCAGTTATAAATATGCAAAAGCTTCAAATATTTACTTGTTAATAAATATGCATAAGCTTCATCTAAGAAACGGTTATCCAGTTATATCATTTGATCAACAGGCCATTCGATAATAATATATAGAATCTAAGTTTTGTTATGTTCTGAATTAGAAGAAAAGGTGTACTTTCCCAATGATGACCTCAAGCTAGAGCTGAATACCACAGTTGATGCGGCCATTTAATAGTGAGCACCTCTAGGTTGTAGAGGGGAATCTGAATAAGATATATACTAATATACCCTGGAAGGATGCTATTAGTTTTGTTGGCTAGGAGTAAAGGGGTAGGATGGATAGTTGTTTTAATAAGGATGTAATAACGATAGTCAATAGGAGCAGGGGCCATTTTGGAATTGTTAGTATTCTCTTACAAGGGGTAAAAAAGGAAAAGTAGCAGTAGTAATCTGTTGAATAGGTATGAAAGGGGGGGGGGCGTAGGAGAGGGTATCTTATATTTTAACTTGCTGGAAACCATTAATCATTCAGTTGCAATATCAATTTCGTTTTGTTTTCATCTGAGAGTGTATCATATACTTAAACAAGTTAAAATATAAGTTTTGCAGCAGTAAGTGCATAAAAAGGCTCCTGGAGGATAATGAAAAAGGAAGAAGCTGGAAGAACTATTGAAACAAAAAAACTCTGTACCATAGTTGCCTAATCACAAAGGTCTCATAAAGCTACCTTACGGCTTTTCAGGTTTACCTTAGGCTTCTTAGTATCATCTTAGCTACCTTTCGGCTTCGATCCATGGCGGGTTCTTTAAGAGGACGTGGACTCATCCATTCATCAGTCACTGTCTTTTTATCAGCCAATGCAATTCACCATTTCCTTTTACCCTGCCTCTTCAGAGGTTCACTTGCACCAAACCGATCTGTTCAAGGAATTAGTGACTTTCATGCTGACTATCACCTCACCTGTCTTCTGTGTCACCATAATCTACTGCTTCCTAGATCGACTTAATGGGTCATCTAGGCAACACCAACATGGGTATCACTCTTCTCCCTTGAACAACGAGGCCTTAGGATGAGCTCATGCTGTTCTTTCTGGTTTGCAGGAGTTAAATCCCACTCTCATTCTCCAGCCATATCATGGATTTTGGTCAATATTGTTTTGTCACTCGGGGAAGCATCCTTCAAGGATCAAAGGATGGTTCATCCGTTGGTTTCGGTTTTGGAGCTTGCTGTCCATGGTGGTTTTTGTTTTTCAACAGTTATTGTTCCCTACGACGTTTGGGATTGTTTATGGTTTATTTAAGGCTAGCTTGTTTAACTTGGTGTTCATCGTCAGCTTGCATGTCGCCTAATTCCTTTTCTTAGCATTTGTCGTCAACAAAGACATGTCTATCTTTCCCTCAATTGTCAGCCATCAGCCTCAGCATCTTGCAAACCCCCCCAGCTCTTAAATACCCTGAAAACAAGGGACGATTCAAGGTCCAAGTTCATGTGTTCAATTTCAACGTTTAAGTTATGTTTCTAGGAATACCAATTTCAATTGTGTAGTGTTCAAAGGGTTTCAAGTAGTGAAAGCAACATCATTGTAGGTAGGAATAAATTTTGCCTCCCTGTAATTGCAGTCACATTCTGTGATCTCTTTAAGGCCATAATCAAATGCAATTTCAATTTTTGGAATAAAAAGATTACCATTAACTGTTTTAAGTAGAGAGACTGACTGCTTTGATTGCTCCACAAATTTGTAAATAAGATGTTGACTATACAGTAAAAACACGGATAAGATTGTTCTGGTGTGATTGGATGGTCACATGTTCAACAACACAACAGCCTCTTTGCAAAATGCAAGTGAAATGCTGCGAATGAAGACTTCTCTCCCCAATCTCACCCTTCGATGGGAATAACAAAATTCAATCAACTGAGTAAATTACTAGGGGAAATAAAACGTTTTTATATTCATACTAATTGGAAAGCAAAGCACTGAAGCCTGTGTGTTAGATGATGGATTCAAATAAGTGCGATGTGACAAGCTTATGATACCTCTTGAAGGGCTTGTAGAGCTTCAGCTTGCCAGCGAGTGACTTCTGGGGCAATGTAGTTGCTTATCTCCTTTACCTGCAAAATGTTACACAAACAACAAACACCTCACCATTCAATTCTGTACGTAAGATCACCAATTGCAGGCACAAAAATGAAGCATAGAAAGTTTTTGACATAAAATCACGCTTTTCATAGGGGTGCTATAATGCTCGTTATATCCTCAATAAGATTCAGCAATTAGAAGGAAACTTAGTAGGAATATCTACATGATCATTCTAATACAAACACAGCCTACAGAAGCATTGTAAACCAATCATACATCAAAATTTATATAATGTATCTAAATCTGAGGTGTAACAGTAACACAACATTATGCCAGGTTGTTCCTGGTCATACAAGTAATACTTCAAGAGCTGGGACCAGATACTCATCAAAGATTTTTATGTTAAATTCAAGTTGAAAGTTGGTAAAGGATTTCCAAAGAGAATATCTTCTAATGCAACCTGCTTTGGACTAGAAGCTAATGAGCTGAACATTTCAATGTCAAGTCTTCTCAATTCAAACATGCAAAAGAGGTAACAAAAATAGCACTCATATGATTTGCCCTTTAGAAGAAGACAACGACATAGATGATGAAATTAGTTGATAAGTTATATCACTAATTACGATTAGGAATATCATTTCATTTTTGATAGTACAAATATAAGAATTATATATTGGTTTCTGAACAGAGGGAGTAGCATGCTAGGAAAAGAAATCAAGAGCAAGTGGCACAAGATCTGCCTCTTGGCCTAGGTTGATTGAGATATTGATTCCTCCGCACAAATTCATTTCTTGTATGTTAAATGGTAAGTTTATCTAGAACGATCAGTTAGTGGACATTTGAAACTTTAGAGATTAGTAATGTTATGACAGCACTTAATATAGAAGAACAAAAACAAAAGTGCTAAAGGTTTCAAAGTTTGATAATTCAGGACCCAAAATAACTTGAATGTTGGGTATATTGTAACAAATGACAAGTGGAAGAGTTTCTTTTTCTTATAAATGAATTTGATATATATAAATTGAATACTAGGATTGAAAATAACCATAACAGGATGCATATTCAACTGTTAGACAAACAATAATTCAAACTTGGATTTATTAAATGCAGATGTTTTACTTATTATCGTGTTCAAAATCAGTTGGTGGTCAGATTTTGAGTTACCACTTACAGGTCTACGTGATAAACTATCTTTCTCTATATGGAACTGCTGGGGCACATAGAGATGTGGATAAAAGAAGCCCAAGAACAACCTGCACTACTGAAATTCGGAAAAGTACGTCGAACATTAAGATATTACCACAGGCGGAATTAATGGAACATGAATTGCACTGCCCTTTACAAAATTTCATGCTAACAAGACAAAAGCTAAATCAACCGGAAGATCAATCCAACATGAAAAAGATGAACGCCTTCTTACCATATCAGAAAAAAGGCAAAGACAAAAGGAGGAAAAAACATACAGGGTGGTGTATAAAGAGGGGGGGGGGGGACAACATGATGTTGCTAAAATTCCACGAAAGCCATTTGCTAGATAAGAACTCCCAGAAAGCTACAGGATTGCACATTAAAGATAAATACACCATAAAATGTAATTTAATTTGTTGTTACATATCTAAGACAGAGCTAGTTCGTTAACATTTCTTAATATAGAGTTCAGTGTACGCCCTTTTTTATTCCCAAAGAACCAAATTCAATAAATGCATTGCATTAGATCCAATTTTATTAGATCATGAATGTATTGAATTTAAGACTTCTGATGCAAAGAAAATTTACTTCAAATTTGATATGTATCACATAATTTTTTTCAAAACAATTTGGGATTTGTCATAAATTTCATGTTAAGAATTTAATTGATTGGACCCTTAATTCCAAAGAATAAATTGTGTATAACAAATTTGTTTAAAGAATTAACATGTGATCAAGTAAATGTAGCATAAAAACACACAAGTAGTAGAAAATAGGTTGGCAACATACTTCGTGTGTTCATTATTTCCTAGCAATTTTAATATACTTCGCATTTTAGTAATTTTATCGATTGTTCAGGAAAAAATCTCACCTAAAATTAAATGTATTGGTCACATATCTTTCCATAAGATCTGAGATTGTAATAAATCTGAAGTTAAAGTGAAGTAAATCTGACCTCTAATTCCAAAAAAAGTCCTTTGTTTGTGACACTTTGTTTTAAAAAATAACATTTAATAGGAAATAACAAGACTACAATTACCAAAAAAAACATTTCTGTTGGCAACCTAGCTAGAATTTGTTCATTATTTCCTAGCAATTTGAATTTGTTTCGCATGTTTCATAATTATACTGATTGTTTGAAAAACGAAATATCAAATAAAATTTTACAAAATGATGAGCACTCATATAACGTATTAAGAATATTAAATTTTTTTAAAAAATTCCATAGAGATACTTTTTGCCAACTTCACTGGATAGATATTTCCGTTGACGGAGTATCACAACTTTACTTGAAAAATCAATTAAAAACAATGTCCAATACTGAGCAATAGTAACCTGTGAGTTACATACGACAAGGGAGGAGCTTTGCTTGGTTTGAGTTGACATGTCACCGCTTGATCAATTAGCCATGATTTTGACAAAAAATGAAATCACTGGTGCTCGATCTAGGAACAAATAGAGTGGGTAGGCCCAACCACCACAGGCCTGTAACAAGTATCTAAAAGATGTTTTCTTTTCGGCCTATGGTTCAGATGCCAATGGCACAAAAAACTGACACATAGCCTAAGCTCTAAGCTTTCCGCTATGGAGGTGAGGGGAGGTGAGGGGAGGTGAATGAGTATAAACGAAAGGTTACCATTGTTTAGTAGGTATATTGATGAAATGAAAGCATGGATAGTTAATAGAAAATCAACTCATACAATAGTGGGGAAATTTACGGTTTTGCCTAATTGTCAAAATCCTATTATTCACAAAGTGATTCTTAATATTTGATTTGATTCATGATGCAAATATTGGAATCTCATCAGTGAATCCAAATCCTTCATGATTACCAAAACATTGCCAAATCACCATCATATGGCCAAATCAAGTTGCATCATACGAGTGTATAAAGTTACCTAAATTTCTTACCTTATTTTTGTTGTTTTGTGGATCTGTGTAGAGTTCATTCATCCACAGCTTACTTGTATACCAAATGAATCTAAAGGTTTCTATGTTAGTATTCAGTGACTTGTCACGAACAGTTAATGGGACAATGCCACGATCTTGTGATTATACAAGTACATTTTAATCAATAGGTCACTAGACTCCTTACTTTTTTATTCTGAATTCATATATGTAACATATAATTTTAGAAAAAGAGTTGAATTGAATTACATGATCTTTACAATAAGTATAGCCATTCTCAACTTGATCAATGAATAGACCAATAGGTGGATGTAGGGGTGCTAAAAAAACCGACTAACCCGACCAACCAACCCAACCCAAAGCAACTTGATAACCTAATCGATTAGTAAAATTTTCAAACCAAAAGTATCGGGCTGGAATTGGGTTAGGGCCATTTGAACCCAACCCAACCTGACGAACCCAATGTCTTTTGACACCACTCATTTAGTATGATTGTTAAGTCCTTAACTAATGTATGTAATTGTTGGCCTTAGTAGAAAGTCTCTTGAAAATATCTATTATATAATTGTTAGCTATACTTGTATGTTCTCATTTTAATCTTACTTTGTTTAAACATAATCACTCAACTAGATTGTAAAATAATATACAGAAGTTTCAGCCAGTCAACCCACCAATCCAACCCGTGCCGTTTGGGTTGGGTTGAGATTTTTCTAACCGCAAACATTGGGTTGGTTATTCAAATACCTTCAACCCGGCCAACCCAACCCTTGTGCAACCCTAGGTGGATGAATATTGATAAAGATTTGTATAAATAGAATGAAGACAATATTAAGATCTTTTCTTGCTTCTAATTGGATCATTGCAAACAAGAGTAAACAAAAAAATCACAATTGACGATTTATTTCCTTCCACTTACTAAACCCTCAAGCAAGAATTAACAAAACACCATTTAATATGCATTGATACATAACAAAAAAAAAAGTTCAACATAACTAGATCGATTAAGGCAGCTTACAGTTCGAATGAAAGGAGCAGCTGGAATGAGAAGATTGACGGTCTTTTGCAAACGCCTGATCTCACGAAGCGCCTTAGCCCCAGGCCTATAACGGTGGTGCCTCCGACCATCCCCAGCTCCTGAACCTGAATTTCAAAATACTACATTTATCAAAACCCTAAATACACATTCACATACAACCACACAGCACAAATCAAAATGTACCCAAAAAAACTCACTCCCAGGGTGGTTCCTCGGACTTGTCCTTGATGACTGCCGAAATCCAAAAAGTGACCAAAAAGAAATAAAACCACATTGCATCAGCAGAATTTCCTAACCACGAATTGATGAAGAGAACATAAAATTGAAACGAAATATTAATAGAAAGAGCATTACCTTACTCGTTGGAGTAGATGCTCTACCTGCAAATTCGAGAGATTGGGAAAAAAATTAGGGTTTGAACAAAAACTGAAAACAGAAAGAAGGAAGCAAAAGAGAGAGGAATGGCCATTACTTCGCTTGCCAGAACTCCGTTGAGCAGGTTGTTTGGTTCTCGCCATTATTGATTTGGGTGGAAACGGCCGATTCCCTGCTGCTCCTATTTTGAACTCGAAAGTATATATTTCCCCGCTCAGCTTATTTTCAACCACGAGCCATTTGGACCGGGTGACTTGCCGTTCACCGCATTAAGTATTTAGAGGGCTACAAAAAAAAAATCTAAAAAAATTCAATCAGACTTTAGTGTTTAGAATTGTTAAGTTATTGGACAATTTTTTGGAACAAATAAATTTTTGGACATTTCAAAACATATTAAATAACTTTTTGAATAATTTTTTGAAACAAATAAGTCATTGGACAATTTAAAATATGTTAAATAACTCATTCGACAATTTTTGGAACAAATAAGTCATTGGACAATCCAAAACATGTTAAATAACTCCTTGAACTTTTTTAAAATATGTTGGATACATTCTTATGACTTGTACAACCAGTTAAAGTGGTAAAATAATGAAAAAAGTCCGAAAAAAATCCCAATGAACATTCATATTTTGAACGATTAAGTTCCTAAATATTTTTTCAACCAAAAAGTATTTAAATCTATAAAATTAAACAAATATAATAAAAAATAATAATTACATTTAAAAAAGATTTTTGATAAAATTTATTTTAATTAAAAATAAAATATATCATATATGTGATTTTTTAAATTAAAAAAGGAGATTTAAATATAAAAAAAATTGTTTGGTTTTATA